CGATTTGCTAAATTAACCATTTTTAACCATTATTTGTTGTGATCCATTTTCCATTTTTCTTGACAAATTAAAAAATCTTTATACACTAAATTAAAAAATCTCTATAAAAAAAAATCTTTATACTCGAAAAAACACTGTGTGCACAATTGTCAAGTTCTCTGACCATTGCATCAGATCACTCTAGGTTGCACTTTTGAACACTTTCATGTAGAATCATTTGAACACTTGTGCACCACTTCCGAACACTTTCCTGGACACCCTCTTGAAGCATTTTGTGAACGTTCAATCAATTCTCTCGAGCAATGAGGGCGGAGGTCCTTTCCCGGTTAATTACCGCATCCTATTCAGTCTGTCAATTTCACAGTAATTAAACATATGATGTAATTGCCATTTCGGGAGTCAATCTAAAAACACGCATCTGTTCTTAAAAGCATTACGTGCCCCGCCAATATCAATTGCACACAGCATGAGATTGACTAATAAACTTTGAGTAATGATCATAGGTACTATATTTGCGGTTAGATAACCAGCAGGTGCCATCACACTGCCAACACTGCATCGCACTTCACCCTCACAGCATTTTCTCATAACCATGGCAACACTGCCAACACTGCTGCATGTCACTATTGTCCAATTATTTGGAAACCGACAGCACTTCCAGTTTCAGTTCCATTTCCACTCTCGCAACACTGCAGTCAACTTCAGCTGCCAACGCTGTCTCAGATTCAGTTCCAGCACACACTGCCAACACCGCAGCAAGCCTCGGCCTGCCAACACTTTCCCACAATCAGGAATGTGACATTTCCATCATCGGCTCCGTCAGCTACTGCGGTTCGGATAAAACAGGCCGGAACAGCATGTTGGCAACGCTGTGGTTCCGTGACCTTGAACAGCACAACACGTGGTTCTGCTGCCGTTCCGCGCCATTCGCTGAAGCCCTTCCCGCTTATTGCGCGCGGAGAATGCCAAGTGATAAGAAGGGGATCGGGAAGGAGGGGAAAATGAACAAGGAATTGCAGAAAAAGGCAGGAGATGGAGAAGGAAAACAGGTCAAATAATCGCTTTTGCACGTCATGTAAACACGGATAAACACCGCGTCGTACATACACGGATACGTACACATACACACGTGACACTGTAAACACATACATAATGTTAATACAATGGTTGATTGTCTCTTTGGGTCAGCTGGTCTCTGTCTATATCCTCTCTCCCTCTCCCTCTCTCTCTCTCTCTTTCTCTCTCTCTCTCTCTTTCTCTCTCTCTCTCTCTCACTATGTCTCTCTCTCACTATGTCTCTCTCTCACTATCTCTCTCTCTCACTATCTCTCATTCTCTCTCTCTTTCTCTCATTCTCTCTCTCTTTCTCTCACTCTCTCTCTCTTTCTCTCACTCTCTATCTCTTTCTCTCACTCTCTATCTCTTTCTCTCACTCTCTCACTCTTTCTCTCACTCTCTCACTCTTTCTCTCACTCTCTCTCTCTTTCTCTCACTCTCTCTCTCTTTCTCTCACTCTCTCTCTCTTTTCTCTCTCTCTCTCTCACTTTCTCTCTCTCTCTCTCACTTTCTCTCACTCTCTCTCTTTCTGTCACTCTCTCTCTCTTTCACTCTCTCTCTCTTTCTCTCACTCTCTCTCTCTCATTCTCTCACTCTCTCTCTCTCATTCTCTCTTTCACTTACTCTCTATTTCTATTTCTCTCACTCTCTCTTTCTTTCTCTATTTTTCTTTTACTCTCTCTTTCTTTTACTCTCTCTTTCTTGTACTCTCTCTCTCTCTCTCTCTTACTCTCTCTCTTTTTCTCTCTCTCTTACTCTCTCTTACTCTCTATTTCTCATACTCTAATTCTCTCACTCTCTCTTTCTCATACTCTCTCTTTCTCTCACTCTCTCATTCTCTCACTCTCTCATTCTCTCACTCCTTCACACTGCTGCATCCTGTCTGTCATTCATAAAAAAATATATTAATTCATCTATAAAAATATATATGACTTAATGAAGTGTAAGGAACAGAAGGTGAAGAACGTCATTGTCTGTTTGTGTATGTATGTTTGTTTGTTTGTGTTTCTCTGTCTGATTGTATTTGTATCTGTCTGTCTGTTTGTCTATCTGTTTGTTTGTCTGTCTGTCTGTCTGTTTGTCTGTCTGTTTGTCTGTCTGTTTGTCTGTCTGTCTTTTTGTCTGTCTGTCTGTGTCTGTCTGTCTGTATGTGTAGGTCCTGTCTAAGACAGACATGCGGCAAGTGAAAATATGAAAGCCGCAAAGAGTAAGAAAATGAGAATAAGGAAAGGGACGAAAAGAGAAAGAAAGAACACAAGAATATTGAACCGTTTGAAAAGAGAAAGAAAAAGGGCATCAAACAAAAACGAATCGGTAGCACAGGAGACACGGAAAGGCTAAAAGGATTACGAAGAAGAAGAGGCACGAAACATGAATAAAGACACGGAAAAGGGACAGAACAAATAAACAAGGACACAAACAAACTCATCTAAACCGACAAATAAACAAACAGACACGTAAGCGAGGGCTAATACGCCCGCCTCCCCCCATCGCAACCACAACCACACACACCACACGAACCACGGCCACCACACCACCACACTACCACACCCGCGCACGCCACCACACACACTGAGGGCCGCGCGGAGAAGGAGGGAGGGGCGAGAGGGACACTGAGGGGCGAGAGAGGCAGGGCCCACGCCTCCCGAGGCCTCCCCCGCCGACACTGCCTGCCAACACTGACAACACTGCCAACCATGGGGCCGTTACATCATCCTCCCGCTGCTGTGACTCAGCGCATGAGCGGGGAGGGATCAGGGGCAGGAGAAGGAGAAGGAGAAAAGGGAGAAGGAGAAAAGGGAGAAGAAGAAGAAGAAGAAGAAGAAGAAGAAGAAGAAGAAGAAGAAGAAGAAGAAGAAGAAGAAGAAGAAGAAGAAGAAGAAGAAGAAGAAGAAGAAGACGAAGAAGAAGAAGAAGAAGAGGAAGAAGAAGAAGACAACGAGAAGGAGAAGGAAAAGGAGAAGGAGAAGAAGGAGAGGAAGAAGAAGGAGATGGAGAAGGAGAAGGAGAAGGAGAAGAAGGAGAAGGCGACGGGGGAGGAGGAGGAGGAGGGGAGGAAGAGGAAAGGAGGGAGGAAGGGGAGGGGGAGAAGGAGGTGAAGAAAAGGGAAGACGGATGGAGGGGAAAGAAGGACAGCGCGAGAAAGACGATGAGCAGACAAAAGATAGAGAGGTAGATGGAAACAAAAAGAGGGGAAGCGAGAGAAAAGCCGAGAGGAAGCGCGAGGGACACGAAAGTATGCGCAAGAAATCAAAGTCACCCAAAAGAAGAAGAAAAAAAAGACGAAAGAACTCGGCCCGCATGAAAATAAAATCACAGGAAGAGACAGGAATGCAAACAAGATTACGGATTGACATGCAGAGCGAGGCAGCAAGGATCGTCAACACAGGTTAAAGGTGTGCGGGACAGCGACGACAGGAATGACTGTCTGTCTGTCTGTCTCGAATAAAAGCTGTTAAGATACCTTTCGTTTCACGCTTATATTATCTTATCTATGGCGGTTATCGCCCTTTTTTCGGGTGGATTCTTTGGGAAAAAGCGGGGACGTCAGGCAGCTTCTACTCGCACATGTATCTGTTTTAGAGTGCATGTGGCCGCCTGTGAGCTTGAGGGAAATTATATTTGCACACGCGAAAAACGCAAGTATACGCAAACACAAACATAACCACGCGTAAATACGTCTCCTTCCACACACAAACACATAAATTGCCCCTCCCCTCCCCCCTTCAGACACACACAAACAACCCCTTCTCACTCGCATGCCTCCCCTCCCCCCCTCCCCCCACAACCCCCGCCCCCAGCACGCCCTGCCCCTCCTGCTGCCGGGAACCAACGGGAGGAGAGGCTGCGAGGCGAGTTCCCAGAACGTCTTCCGCGCCGAAGACATGATCGGAGGATACTGTGGGGGAAGAGGGGGGAGGGGGAGGGGAGGCGGGAGGAAGTGGTAGAGGGAAGAGGGAGGGGAGAGGGAGGATGGAAGGAGGCGGGGAGGGAGGGGCACAGCGGACAAGGACAGCAGACGGGGAAATACCATGATGGTAAGACAGCGGAGGGAGGGAGGGAACGGGGCGTGTGAGGGTGTATGGGAGAAGGATGATAAGGGCACTATGGAAGGGGGGAAAGGCAGGGAGGGAGAGGAAAGGGGGAAACGTGGATAGCTGGGAGGAGGGAAAAAGGGAGAGGGGAGGAAGGAAAAGAACGAGAGCAAGGCGGAGGCGGAGGATGGCGGCCGAGGAAGACACCATATTTAGTGACGAACGGTTTTGAAGTGCAGGGGAGAGCTATGTGGATATGTATATGTATATGGCTAATATATATACGTGTGTGTGTGTGTGTGTGTGTGTGTGTGTGTGTGTGTGTGTGTGTGTGTGTGTGTGTGTGTGTGTGTGTGTGTGTGTGTGTGTGTGTGTGTGTGTGTGTGTGTTTGAATGTGTGTGTATTTGTTTGTTTGTATATGTGTGTATTTGTATGTTTGTTTGTATGTGTGTGCTTGTCTAATTAAGTGTGAATCGATGGGTGTGTGTGTTTGATTGTCTGTCTGTACATGAGTTTAGGACAAATACAACGAAACAAGGAAATCCAAAAGTTACGTTCTTATGAGTGTGCATTCGTGAGGTGTTCGAAGCGTTGAGCAGAAATATAATCAAACGAATAGCTTAACTCAAGACTAGAAGCTACAGTGGCATTTTCATCATAGCTAATTAAATATTCTTAGGCATGAATGTTTTCGTACGTCTATAAAATTCCCCAACTTTACTATCCGTCCGATATGGCAACACGAGGGCCTAAAATACGTAAGTCACCCTGCAGTCTCCCATTTTCTCCCATATCCACTCATAGAAAACGTGTTACGCCCGCGCACCCCCCCCTCCCCTCCGCCCGGCAACGTTTGCATTCCACACCGTCAGAGAATAGCAATCACATCGGCACAAAAGGCGAGGAAGCCGCCGACAAAGAAAATATATGTATACGTTTGTTCTTTTTTAACGTTGAACCCAGCTAACTAAGTAAGCAAAGAATTCTCGTTACTCACCAGATAGAATGGCCGCTCGCTCTTTTCTCCAATCTGCGGTAGCCTCCCCTTCCGAGCGTGCTCTGTGGGGGAAAAAAGTGTGAGTGGCTGGGGTATGCGGACCTGGGAAGGGGGGGGGATGAGGAAGGGGTCAGGGAGATGGGGTGGGGGGTCAGAGGATGGGTTAGGGGTAAGGGGTAAGGGGTAAAGGGGATATGGGGGGAGGGAAGGAGAGAGATGGGCTGACCCCTGAAGGGGAGGGGGTCGATAAGGTGGGAGGGAAGGATGGGACGAGCGAGAGGAAAAGACAGGCAGACTTACCAAAAGACAGAGGGTGGGGCACCGGAAAATGAAGAAAGAAAAAAAAACTAAGAAAAAAACTAAAAGTAAGAAACGAAAAAAAGGGAAAAGGAAAAGAGAGAAAGAGGAAGAGAAAGAGCGAAGAGGGGAAAACATGTGGCTAAAGGTCAAAATGTCACCACGAAGGCTGAGGACGAACGCACGCACGCTCGCACGCACATACAAAGCGCCTGACTGCCCGAAGGCACAGGTGATATTGCACATTGAGTCTACTGCAGTGCGTGCGTGCGCGCGTGCGAGCAGTCGGGAATCAATATAGGTGCGTACTGATCAATGTTACCATCGTTATCATCATTGTAAATCTTATTAAATTATTTTTCCTGAACGTCATACTAATCATCGCAAAGGCACATGTCTCTGTCTACCCATCAATACGTCTACACTACGTTTTCTTTTCCTCTCCTCACCCAACTCCTCCCCTTGGTGCCACTCAGGACAGCCACTTCGCGAGCTACGCCGAAGACAGAGTTCTGTGGCACTGGTATCGATCTTGTTGGCACTGTTATCTTTCCTAAAGGTTCATCACTTCTGGTGGCACTGGGACCCCTCCCTTTGGTAAAGATATCCTTCCTCCTGGCACTGCAATCCTCCCGCTAGCACAGCACTGTCATTCTTTTTTGTGGTGCTTGTTTTGTTGGCAATGTTACTCTTTCTGTTGGCAGTTGGCGCTGCTATCTTTCCTGCTGGAACCGGATTCGTTCTTGCTGGCACTGCTATCCTTTTTGCTGGCACTGGTTTCATTCATATTGCTGCTATTTTTTCTGGTTGGCACTACTTTCATCCTTGTTGGCATTTACTTCATTCTTGCTGGCATTACTGTCCTCCCCGTCGTCTCTCGTGCCCAACCTGCTAACACCCGTAGCCCGGTGGCTGCCACCGCCGCCCTCCCGCCTGCAGTGCAATCCCCGACCCGAACAGAAGGCACGGCGGCGGCCTGCTCCTCCTGAACGCATCGCGGGCAAGAAAACCCACGGGATGGCAATGGGAATAATGGCTATGGAAATCATCATGACGATGAGAACTGATGACTGACAACGGTGATGACGGTGATGATAATGACTGTGCTGATAAGGATGATGATGGTGAAATGATGATTGTGATGATGATGAAATGGTGATTATGATAATGATACTTATGATGATGATAATGATAATGATGATACTTGTAATGAATGATGATGACGGTGATGATGATGATAGTGATAATGACAATGATGATATACGATACAAAATAATAATGAAGTTAATGATACAAACTAACTGAAGCTACTAATTGAAACAATAAACATTAGCAAGCAGAGTACCTGCCAAAAATACCCCCAAGCAAGATAATGACGCCCCCCCAGGGCTGCCCGAGCGCTGGCCGCACGCTCACCCGACACACAAAATTCTTTGTCAGCATTTCTTGGAAAATGCTGACTCACGCCACGTCTCATAAAAACAACCCTTTGTAAATAAGGGAATTTAAGCAGCACCAAATGTTGAGCTACGGGCGAGGAGGAAATAATTGTTGTATTGTTACTACTGCTGATAATAATAACAATAGTAATAATAATAATAATAATAATAATAATAATAATAATAATAATAATAATAATGATTGATAATGATAATGGTAATGACAATGATAATGATAATAACAATAACGATAATACTAACAATCATGATGATGATGATGATGATGATGATGATGATGATGATGATGATGATGATGATCATGATGAGGAGGAGGAAGAGGGGAAGATGAGGAGGAGGAAGAGGAGGGGGGAAGGGGGGAAGGGGAGGAGGAGGAGGGGGAGGAGGAGGGGGAGGAGGAAGGGGAGGAGGAGAAGGAGGAGGAGGAGGAGGAGGAGGAGGAGGAGGAGGAGGAGGAGGAGGAGGAGGAGGGGAGGAGGGGGGAGGAGGAGGAGGGGGAGGGGAGGGGAGGAGGAGGAGGAGGAGGAGGAGGAGGAGGAGGAGGAGGAGGAGGAGGAGGAGGAGGGGAGGAGGAGAAGGGGAGGAGAAGGGGAGGAGGAGAGGAGGAGGAGGAGGAGAGGAGAAGGAGGAGGAGGAGGAGGAGCAGGAGCAGGAGGAGAGGAGGAGGAGGAGGGGATGAGAGAGGAGGAGGAGGGGATGAGGAGGAGGAGGAGGGAGGAGGAGGAGGAGGAGGAGGAGGAGGAGGAGGAGGAGGAGGAGTAGGGAAGGAGGAGGAGGAGGAAGAGGAGGAGGAAGAGGAGGAGGAAGAGGAGGAGGAAGAGGAGGGAGGAGGGAGGAGGAGGAGGAGGAGGAGAAACAGGAGGAGAGGAGGAGGAGGAGAAGGAGGAGGAGAAGGAGGAGGAGGAGGAGGAGGAGGAGAAGGAGGAGGAGGGAAGGAGGGAGGAAGAGGAGGGAAGGAGGAGAAGAGGAGGGAAGGATGAGGGGAAGGAGGAGGAGGAAGGAGGAGGAGGAGGTAGGGGGAGAGGGAGGAGGAGGGGGGAGGAGTGGGAGAGGAGGAGCTGGGAGGAGGAGGGGGGGAGGAGGAGGAAGGAGGAGGAGGAGGAGGAGGAGGAGGAGGAGGAGGAGGAGGAGGAGGAGTAGGAAGGGAGGAGGAGGAGGGAGGAGGAGGAGGAGGAGGAGGAGGAGGAGGAAGAGGGGGAGTCGAGGAGGAGGAGGAGGAGGAAGAGGAGGAGCCGAGGAGGAGGAGGAGGAGGAAGAGGAGGAGCCGAGGAGGAGGAGGAGAAGGATGGCGGCGATGATTTGAACCACTGATAATGGTGCCCAGAAGGATAAAGAGAACCACCAGCATAGACCCAACACCAGGGCAACCCGCCCGAAGGACTCGCCCGAAGGACGCGCTCACCTGGGGCTGAGGATATCCTTGGCCTTCGTGCCGTATCGACTCTGTAGGACCGATGACCAGGCGTCCTGCTCGCTCACCAGGCCTTTTCCTCCTCCTCCTCCTCCTCCTCCTCCGCCTCGCCCTTCCTCCTCCTTCTTCTCCGCCGCCGCCGCCTCCTCGTTCGTTTCCGCGCCTCTCGGGGATCTGGAGGCGAACGCCCGCCTTTGTTATTCATTTGTTCTATATTTATATTCAGATAAATATGAATATAAACATACGTAGAAATGCACGTGTAAGTGTGCGTCAGTGCCTGCCTTTGTGCTTATATGCCTGTCTGTATGCCTGCCTATATACCTGCATTGGTGCTTGCCTGCCTACCTGCCTGCCTGTGTTTGTGTGCGTGCGCGTGCGTGCGAGCATGTTTTCCTCTCTCTCCTAAAACCTCCCTCGGACATACGACGCTATCACCTGCTCCCCATTTCGAAGAGCTGACACTAATTCGATAAAAGGTGGCACGACACTGACGACGGTTATGAAAGAATTTGATTAAGTAGCATCAGAACTTCTTTCCTGTAGAATGATCCCGCTTAATGCGTGGATTTACACCCACATTCGCCCGGGCCTTCGCGCCCCTGGGACCCTTCCCGTGAGGCCCCGGGGATCCCTCGTGCGCGCCGTCCGCCAGCGAGGAATCCGCCCGATATTTTCCCATGCACTCAAAAATGCGCCATGCGGAACTAGTGAATATTTCTCTTCCCCTTTTTTTTTCTTCCCTCCTTCCCCCTTCCCTCTCTCTCCATCCTTCATCTCTGCTTCTTCTCGACCCTCTCCGTCTCGCTCTCCCTCCCTCTCTTCTGCTCCATCTCCCTCTATATTCTCTCCTCTCTCTCTATTCTCTCCTCTCCTCTCTCTCTCTCTATTCTCTCCTCTCTCTATCTCCCTCTCTATTCTCTCCCCTCTCTATTCTCTCCCCTCTCTCTCCCTCTCTATTCTATCCTTTCTCTATCTCCTTCTCTATTCTCTCTATCTCCCTCTCTATTCTCTCCTCTCTCTCTCCCTCTCTATTCTATCCTTTCTCTATCTCCCTCTCTATTCTCTCTATCTCCCTCTCTATTCTCTCCTCTCTCTCTTCTCTCCATTTTCTCTCTTTCTATCTCCCTCCCCATTCTCTCCTCTCTCTATTCTCTCCTCTCTCTATCTCCCTCTTATTCTCTCCTTCTCTATCTCTCTCTTCCTCTCTCTATCTCCCTCTCTTTTTCCTCTCTCTATCTCTCTCTCTCCTCTCTTATTTTCTTCTCTATCTATCTCCCTTCTCTATCACCTTCTCTATCTCCCTTTCTATTCTCTCCTCTCCTTATTCCCTCTCTATTCTCTCTTCTCTGTCTCCTCGCTATAACTCCTCTTTCTATCTTCTCTCTTTCTCTCTCCACTCTCTTCTCTCTCTCTCTCTCTCTCTCTCTCTCTCTCTCTCTCTCTCTCTCTATCTCTCTCTTCTCTCTCTCTCTCTACTCTCTCTCTACTCTCTCTTCTCTCTCTTCTCTCTATACTCTCTCTTACTCTCTCTCTCTCTCTTCTCTCCTCTCTCTCTCTCTCTCTCTTCTCTCTCTCCTCTCTCTACTCTCTTCTCTCTTCTCTCTACCTCTCTCTCTCTCTTCTCTCTCTTCTCTTCTTCTCTCTTCTCTCTCTCTCTCTCCTTCCTCTCTCTCCACTCTCTCTCTCTTCTCTCTCTCTCTCTCTTCTCTCTCTCTCTTCTCTCTCTTCTACTCTCTCTCTCTC